TTGCCCCTTCCGTCGGCAGTTCGATTGGTCGGACACCTGTTTGTTAGTTTGCAGGCACAGTTTACCCGTGTGAGGCCCGCTAGCATCGTCTCACGTATTGCCATCACTACCAGTGTCTGTGTCTATCTGTGTGTGTACTTCTGCTTGTTGTCATCTCTATTTCTCCCTCACTACTGTCTACTCGCATCTGCCGATTGCACCTCTGCAGCACCGGCAGCACATTACTATTGCAATCTCCAGGCAACTGAGTGAGCAGCTCCACAGATCGGCGCTCTACGCATCACTGCCTCACTCACATCCTCCTCTAATTAACTCCTTACATCACTCGGCTGCAAACACTCGGCTGTCTGCAGACACGAGCTTGGACTCAGCTGCCACCACTGTCATCTCTCCCCCTCTCTTTCTTTCATCTGCAATTGACAGCCTGGTCTGAACTGAGTCCATGATTAGTGCTAACTGATTGATGTTCACTCCTTCAAATCACGTGTTCCCCAGTTTGGTTGCACCACCATTCCCACTCCTTGCTGTGGCGAGCGCACGTGTGTCTCCTCGTCATCGCAGTAGGCAATTGACACCGGTGCAATGGTGACCATCATCTCGCAGCGACCAGTCGCACAGACTGTCACCCTCCTCTTCACCAAATCGTACCTCTGATCTGACCGACTGCCACTTTACACTGAGTCATCTAGTACTCTTCCTTCAAACTCTTCCGCCTCGTATACCTTCTTCACCTTTTCACCTCAGTCTCTTTTCACGCCTCACTACCGTCTCACACACTCACCTCACCATGTTATTCTGTTTCAGCAGTCAGCAGGCAAAGGAGGAGGAACACGTCTACCTGGTGGACGAAGCCGATGAACTGGAGGTAGAGGACAGCCAGGAGGCACATGATAACCTCATCAATGAGGACCTGTTGGGCACAGGAAACGGCGGCGTTGCAGCAGTGGTAAAGAACCTCGAGTCAGCACTCTCCACCCGACGCAGCAACCACCGCCGGACGAACTCCTTCGACGACCTCCACTCGGGCCCCATCAAGCTGCCACTGCCTACTTCCACAGCAACCACAGCAGGCACTCTGCGCTCCTTTCGCAAGTCACACGCGTCCTCGGCGTCGCTGGGCGCAACAACTGGCGCAGCGCTGGCGGCAGCGACAGCTGCTGCTGCAGCAAACGGCAAGTTCGTCGACCCGTCCGTAGCGGTGGCAGCCGTTGCAGCGGCAGCCGCGGCGGCCGCTGCAGCCGCCGACCAGCAACAGTTTGGTGGCAGTCACACGCAGCACCAGCAATCGGTGTCCACGGGGAACGGCATATCTCGCACCTTCGGCAAGCTAGGCCCCTTTCTCCGGCGCAATCGCTCCTCCAAGGGCACTGAGCATCTGCAGCGTGAAGCACTGCGCAAGTCAAATGAAACCGCCGCCGGTCTGGGCATCGACCAGTCGCAACGATACATCAAACTACCAACGTCAAGTGCGGTCACCAGCGGGGCGGGCACTGGCTGCTCGCCGGCTTCCTCCCCCACGACTGCATCCGCCAAGTCGTTGTCGTCCTTGTCCTCCACTCGATCGACGCCACAGAGCCACAGTAAGTGCTCGTCGCTGACAAAATCGGCCACTTCCGTGGCAATAGCGGCAAGTTGTGATTCGCAGCAACAGCAACAACAGCANCGTCGTCCTTGTCCTCCACTCGATCGACGCCACAGAGCCACAGCAAGTGCTCGTCGCTGACAAAATCGGCCACTTCCGTGGCAATAGCGGCAAGTTGTGATTCGCAGCAACAGCAACAACAGCAACAAAAGCAGCAGCAGTCCCCCTCAGTCACATCCTGTGAGCTTTCCCTCGCCACTGGTCTTCACTCTGCCTGCAGATCAGATCCGACGGCACATCGAGTGTTTCATCGACAGCGACATCACTCGCCTGCATCCTCCTCCTCCTCCTCCTCTTCTGTGAGCTCTTCTACTTCGTCACCACCAGCACCAACGCTGGTTCCTCGAAGTGCTAACAATCCACCGCCACGTCCAAAGACGAGTAAGCCTTCTCGCGGCGGCGGCAGCTCCAACGACACTATTGCCACCGTCGTCTCTAGCACAGCCGCCACCGCCAACAACAACACCACAGCAACGACCACAACGACCACCACAGCCAACACCGCCAACACCAGCAGCTGCAGTAGAAATTCATCGTTGCCAGCGAGGCCTTCTTCAACGGTAGCGGGCGTTCTCAGTGCTTCCGCTGCAGTGTCACTTGACCAGCTACTGAGTGGTCTGACGGCAGTGAACATATTCTCACCGATTTGCTCCCAGCTGTCGAGCACAGCCACGAACTCCGCCACGATGACCACTGCCATGTTGACCTCTTCAGTGCCCAGCAGCAGTGACAGTACGACCAGCATGGCCACCACCACCACCTCTGGCCATGCCCAGTGCACTGGTTCCGGAGGCAGCAGCTCTGGGCAACAGTCACAACAGCAGCAACAACAGCAGCAACAATCCCAACAGTCACAGCAGCAGCAGCAGCAGCAGTCCACTTCATCTAGCTCCTCATCTTCCTCGAATCACCACCACCATCAGCATCAGCAATTCATCAATAAGCCCCCTCGCGGATGGCTTCATCCTGATCACAAGCTATCCGACTCTGTCGGCGTCACATATGCTGTCAGGGTAAGTCCATTCACTGTTCACTGTTGAGCGTCCCTTTGCATGGTCGTTGTGTGTGTGTGTTGTGAGCGAGAATGGCCTGCATGCTGAAGTGCAGTAGTGAACTGTCGGGTAA